CTTTTGATTGGAGCATTTAATCCATTTACATTTAAGGTTATTTTGATAGGTACTTATTCACTGCCATTTTTGTACCTGTGTTCCTCTCTGTCTCCCTCTTTTCCTTCCTTCCCTTAAAGCAGTCCTTTTAGTATTTCTTGTAGGGCTGGTTTGGCGTATTCTTTTAGACTTCTTTTTGTCATGGAAGCTCTTTATTTGGCCTTCTATCTTGATTGAGAGCCTTGCTGGGTAAAGTAGCCTTGGTTGTAGGCCTCTGGTTCTCATTACTTGGAATATTTCTTGCCATTCTCTTCTTGCTTGGAGTGTTTCCATTGAGAAATCAGTAGCTAACCTTATTGGGGCTCCCTTGTATGTTACTTCTTTTTTCTCCCTTGCTGCCTTTAAGATTCTCTCTTTGTCTTGGAATTTTGCCATTTTAATGATGATGTGTCTTAAAGTGGGCCTCCTTGGGTTCCTCTTCATTGGGACTCTCTGTGATTCCTGGATTTGTGAGACTTTTTCTCTCATCAAATTAGGGAAATTTTCTGTCATTACTCTTTCAAATACCTTTTCTATCCCTTGTTCTTCTTCTTCCCCTTCTGGTATTCCTATTATTCGGATATTATTATGTTTCATATTGTCTTGCATTTCTCTTAATCCCTCTTCATTCTTTCTGAGCCTCTTTTCATTTTCTTGCTCTTTCTGTGAGATGCTTTCTACTTTGTCCTCCAACTTGCTAATCCTACCCTCCGCCTCATTTATCCTACTTTTGAAACTCTACTGTGTTCTTCAAATCGGAAATTGTATTCTTCATTCCTTCTTGTCCCTTGCTGATATTTTCTATTTCCTTTTTGATGTTGATGTAGTTTGCAGAGAGATCATTGTAGTTCCCCTGTAGTTTCTGGTAGTTCGCTGTTATCTCTTTGAACTTCATAATAACCAGTGCTTTGAATTCACTATCTGATAGTTGATTAGCCTCTATTTCATCTAACATTCTTTCTGAAGTTTCTGCTTTTTCTTTCATTTGGGGATTGTTTCTTTGTCTTCCCATTGTTTGAGACTCTTCTTTTTAGTATCAGCTTCTAAAGTTGATCTGTTCTGACACCCTGGGTTTATGGTGTGAACTTCTGTGGTATAATACCTGTGAAGTTCAGTGGTGCAGACTCCTTCAAGTATCTTGATGTTTTCCATCTCCACCTACTCTCACGCCAGTCCTCTCCTACCCCTGTTGAGTGTCCCGGCTCCAGTAGCCGACTCCTACAGCGCCGAGACCCGTTGCTATGGCAGCGGCACAGGGGCCGAGAGTGTCCCAGCTCCCATAGCTGACTCCTCTGGCTCCCAGGTCCGTCACAAGGGCTTGGGGTGTCCGGCTCCCGTACCTGACTCCACGGTGTCCAATCCTGTCACTATGGCAGCGGCACAGGGGCCGATAATTTCCCAGCTCCCATAGCCGACTCCTCTGGCGCCCAGGCCCATCATAGGGGTTTGGAGTGTCCGGCTCTTGTAGCTGACTTCCTGGCGCCCAGGCCCATCTCTATGGCGGTGGCACAGGGGCCTCCAGTGTCCTGGCTCCTGTAGCTGACTCTGCCGCTGTCTGGTGTTTCAGCATCGGTCACAATCTCTGGTCTTTTAATTTCATAAATGCTGGAAAACCGATGGTTTATTGTGCTGTTTCTCTATAGATCTGCCAGGATTTTCACCCACAAGTACAGGTGCTAGAATCCACTCCGTCCTACTCCGTCGCCATCTTCCCAGCATCCTCTAATATTATTTATTGTAAAGCATGACTTTCCAGACTGCTTCCTGGTAGTTCCATAATTATAGTAATAAGTCAGGACAAACTTCTTCTAGATAATCCATTTTGATTTAGCTGATTCTAATAACATTTATTGCCTTAAAAACATTTACTTAAGACTTTAGGTATATATTGCATTAAGATAATTTTTTTTAGTGTGGCTGATTTAAAATTTCTCTGATTGAGAAATTATATTAGGAACAAATTACATATTATGAAATCAGTCCCAAATAAGTAAATTTAAAATAATGTACTGGTTTGCTTCTGTCCTTCATTAGCTCCACATAAGAAAACTTTGGGGCTAGCAAAATGAGAATAATATGTTATTTTGAGGGTTGTCATAATTAAGAAAACTTAAAAATAAAAATCATAAGCAAATGTATATAATCACTTTTCCTATGGTCTACTGTCCTTTGTGTAGCAGATCAGCATTCTTCTATTACATAGATTTGTAAATTTCCACAATAATTCCACTCCTCTGAACCTTTGATTATCATATCCAATAAGATATTAGAACTTTCTCTGTGTCCAAAAAGAACATGATGTTTTGTGACATTTGTCACTCTTTATTTGGGTTTGGAATTTGGGTTTGCTGATAAGCTCTTTGGAGGCAGTTTATTTTTCTCTAGATGGGATACTTAGAGTATAGGTAGTTGCCACCAAGTAAATAGTTGAAGCTGTGTCCATGGGGGAAAGAAAAATTTGATTTTTTTCTAGTTCTTTATTATGTAGCCAATAAAATTTTGAATATATTCTTAAAATAAAATAAAAATTAGATTTTTTAGAATAGATAAAAATAGAATTACTTCATACTAATTAATTACCTTCAGTTGAACTTCATTCATTTGATTTTCTGTTACCAAGGCTTCAAATAATATAACTCATTCTGAATCCATTCTTGGATATCAGGTTTTTTGGGACTACAGTCATTCTGCCTATTTAGGTATATTTTAAAAAATACCCAACTTGGCCATTTGTAGTTCATATCAACAGCCTTTACTAGTCCTTTTATTCAAGCTGGTGAACTGCTGTAAATTGTGGCCCACTTTGCTGCCTACTCACTACACCAGAAAATTACATATATGGCCATCAGTATTCTGTGACTGTTCACCTCTTGAGAAACTGAATTAACTTCCCAATTTTCTACACTTACTGGAAAAGACACATTTTTTTTCTATCATGGAAAAGTACACATTTTTTTCTAATAAGGGTTTGTTTTGGTTTGTGTTATTTTTTGAAATGTCCTTGGCCAAACTTCTTGATGGGGCTTTGCTTTTTTTTCTTTCTAAATATAGCCAATATTTGAATATATTTGTTTTAAAAACAGTTTGTAGTTTATCTTTCACATAACCACACTGTTTGCTTGAAAAGGAAAAAATAAGCTATGTTCCTCTTAAAGTACATAATGTAGCAAAGGTGAACAATATATTTAAGGTAAGTTGGAATTCAGTGGTATCTGTGGAATTTCACCCAGAATTTTGGTGCTTGATTCATTTATCCAAATTATGAGCAGAAGAGACACATTTTCCTATTTCTTGTATTTTAATTTCACGGTACATGTTTAAAAGACAGTTTCTAAACACAGCATCAATAACAGTTATAACGATCTTTTTTCCAAAGCACATCCAAGATAATATACAGGTTGTCAGAATTATCATCCCTGGCATACTGAGCCAATACATAGTAGTTCATCTGAAATATAATAACATTCCTTTGATCTTAACCATAGAAAATATATACTGTGTTATTAATACAGGGTGAGACAAAAGTAGGTTCACAGTTGTGAATACGCCAAACACTTTATTCTTGTATTATTTGTTGTCATATTATTTGCCATATGAACAACTGTAAACCTACTTTTGCCCCACCGTGTATGTCATTAGCTACTTGTTTCTGACATACATTTAGGGTAAAATAAATGTTCGTGAAGTTTTATTTGTTGAGTTCTTATCTATTTATTAGTCTTTCCTCACTGGAAATTAGCTGCTTTTGGCAAACCATATTCAAGTTATGTTTTATAACTTCAAAATGGCAGTGATATTTTTTATCCACTAGAGGGAACATGTGTAATGTAAAATATTGATATATTCATGTGGAAGCTTGTTTTTATAAATATTTAGAAGTTATTTCTGTTTTAAATAAAAATCTTACTTGCCAGTGTAATCTTCTCCTGATCTCTAGTAGTTAGTAAAACAGTGTAGTCTCCACTCCATTAGAACTAAGTGGGGACTGAATGGCATTGAATGTTTAATAGTAGGAGGTGTATATAGAAATGTGTATATGTATAACGTATGAGTGAGTTTCATTTATCGTATACATGTAATTATCTTAATCAGTTGTTATAAAGAAGTATAAACTTTTTCCTAAGAGCAATTGATTTAACTAGAATGATACAAAATTCTTTCTTGGTGTCTGTTTCACTCTTTCCAGGTTTGTTTGAAATATGTTTCAGAACAAATGTATTGACACATTTATATTAGAAAATAATTTTTTGATTTGAAAATTTTAATGAACTTATTTATTAAAATATAACATTATAGAATGGGCAAGAAACTGCAGGTATACAGCTCACTAAACTTTCACAAAGTAATTACACCCATGTAATCATCACCCAGCTCAAGAAAATTAAAATATCTCCAGCACTGCAGAGGCTCCCTTATGCCCATCTAATTACTATCCATCTGTCTCCTGCTCATAACCGTTATGCGAACTTATAATACCGTTGATTAGCTTTGCCTGCAGGGAAAACCATTTTTAATTTCTGTACATTATGTATTTGGATAAATGATGAAGATAAGACTAAAACATATCTTTAGAAGTGTTTTATATTCCTCTGTAAGGAGAACTTGTAATGCAATATCAGTTTCAATTCTCAGAACCTAAGTGGTGGTTTATGGTTATAATATAAACTAACTTCCAAAGGTTGACGTTACTTTAACTCGTGTACAAATAAATAGAAAATGTATTTAAGCTGGAATTGCAGAGTGTCTTCTTTGAGGAAATATGCAGATGAAAAGGGGTCTGGACTTTTAAATATTAACTATGAAGTCCACATCTCCACTTCTGACATTTCAAAATGCTCTCTAGGTATTATAGTTGCCATTCTTGAACATATTCCTATAAAATAAAAATTTTATTTTCACTTCGCAGAGATTGTTCAATGAATCTGGAGTGTTTGTATACCTTTAGATTCTGATGAATATATATGATCTTATTTATGTTTTAGACAAGGTATTGAAATGGAAAAAGTAATGCAAGAATTGGGAAAATCACTGACAGATCAAGACGTAAATTCACTGGCTGCTCAGCATTTTGAATCCCAGCAAGTAAGTGAAATACAATGACTTTTAGATATGCAGTTATTCTTTTTTACTTACTTATTTTTGTAAAAAAATATTTAGTCAATATACTCTTTTTAGGATTTAGAAAATAAATGGTCAAATGAATTAAAACAATCAACTGCCATCCAAAAGCAAGAGTATCAGGAATGGGTGATAAAACTTCATCAAGACCTAAAAAATCCAAACAACAGCTCTCTCAGGTATTAATCATGCATTATTCTTATTAAATGGAAGTTTATTGTTAATAATAATTTGTGTTTATTGTAAAATTGAGCCTTTTAGTTGTAGATATTTTTAAGTTACCAATGAAAATTTAAGGTGGTTTATTTTTTAAAAATATCACACATTTTATGTGGATTGAGAGGGGGATTAATTGGATGGTTTAAAATAGGGATTTCTCCCCTAGAACTTAGCCTTATAAGTGTTTTAGATATGTATACCTAAATACCCCAAGTACTATCTCTTGTTTCTTTAAATTGGTTACCTTTAGTTCAATAAACATCAGTTGAATACATCTTAAATGCTAAGCATTCTCTAAGCAGAAAATAAAAATAATAACTGCCCATATGGAGCTTATATTCTAGAGAAACTAATCTGTAAATAATACCGTATAGAGTGATACGTGCAGTAGTAAAAGCATGTACGAGGTACAATAATAATATAGAGGACTTTTCGTAATTTATAATTTGTATGGTACCTTATAGCCTAAGTACATTGTGTTTCATACATAACCCTAGACCCTGACAGTGCCTATGTTATTTCCTGGACATGCATTCATATATTTGAGAATGTCTTTTTCCACATGATAAAGTATATTTCATTTGGAAATATACTTAATATGGTACAGTAATCCTGTTTCTAGAAGTAGCTGATATATACAACAAACACTTAGAAATAGCATTTTATTTGTGTAATGTCAGTTTCCCCCATTAGTCTTACCTTGAAGACAAAAACCATGTTTGTTTTTGCTGCTGTATACCAGATCCTTGTCAAGTGTCTAGCTCTTGGCGCTGGTACCTAAGACATGCTCAATAAGTATTTATGGGCTGGGGACAAACAGGCAGACATACAGGCAAACTGTTTACCTGATACTTATATTTCCTCTTATCTAAGTATCATAATCTTTCATTTGCCTTATTGTTTTCCCCAAGACAACACCTTAGAAATATTTAAACAGTTGTTATGATTGGAAATGGGATAATATTCTTAACACTAACATATTCTACTGTACTCATTTCAAATGAAAGTAGTGATGACTACAATAAAAAGGGAAAAGTGGAGGGAAAGCTGGACTGGGAACATCTGTATGCTGTAATATTACAATGATGTTTCTCAGACTGCTAGTTGCACTCTGCTAGGGACCATTCTAGATTCTTTACTTTCCAATCAAATTTTTTAAATAACAATAAGATGAAATGGAATGGAACAGAGCACAGTAGAATAGGTAAAAAAAATATGAATATGCACCATGCATGAAACTTTCTATAAATGAACGTATGTATTGAGCCAAAATGCAGAATAAATACTGTATATTATCAAAAATGTGGAATGTCACTAATTTAGTTAGGGAAGCTATGAAACCTCCATTCTACAAAAATTATCTGTCACTTTGCTGCTATAGTTACAGAAATTCAATATATAGGATCAATTCTATCATGTGAGTATTGACCTCTGGCTGGTGCTCCTTTTAAAAACCAAATATTCCCAGGAAAGGATATTTTTACCATGACTTTGTTAGTTTGCTTTCCTGTTTTGATAGAGGTTTTCTTAGGCAACAGAAATATGTTTTCAACACAACTATGTACAGAGTGGGGCAAAAGTAGGTTTATAGTTGAGTACATAAAACATAGTTTATTTGTGCATCATTATTTAGTAATTCTTGTATTATTTTTCATACAAAAAAATTGTAAACCAACTTTAACCCCACCCTGTATATACTTCTATGAGCTTGATAAAAATTGTATTTTAGTTTTATTCATTTATTTTTACTTTTTTCCCTTTTATTGAATTAATTGGGGTGACACTGGTTAACAAAATTATATAGGTTTCAGGTGCGCAATTCTATGATACATCATCTGTATATTGTATTGTGTGTTCCTCACCCCAAGTCAAGTCCCCTTCCATCCTCATTTATCCCCCGTATACTCTCCTACACCTCCCTATATCCCCCTTCACCAGCAATCACCAATTACTGCACTGTTGTCCCTTTCTTGAGTTTTTTTCTTTTTCTTTTTTTGCTCAATCCTTCTACCATCCCCCCAGTCCCATCTCAACAGCTGTCATCCTGTTCTCTATATGTCTGTCACTCTTTTGCTTATGAGCTTATTTTGTTCATTAGATTTCCCATTAGAATGAAATCATGGCACTTGTCTTTCTCTAACTGGCTTATTTATTCACTTACATAATATTCTTCAGGTCCATCTATGCTGTTGCAAAGGGTAGGATTTTCTTCTTTTTTTACAGCCAGGTATTATTCAGTCATGTATATGTACCACAGCTATTTTATCCACTCATCTCCTGATGGGCACTTGGCTGCTTCCAGATCTTAGCTATTGTAAATGATGCTGCAATGAACATAGGGGTGCATACATTTTTTTGATCTAGTGTTTCTGGTATCTTTGGGTAAATTCCCAGAAGTGGAATCACTGGGACATAAGACAGTTCCATTTTATTTTTCTCCTCACCCAAGGACATTTTTTTCATTGCTTTTTAGAGTGAGATGAACAAAGAGAGCGTTTAGAGAGAGGGGAAGGGGGGGAGAAGGAGCAGGGGAAAAATACTGACTTGAGAGAGAAACATCAGTTGGTTGCCTTTTTGGTTGTGCCGAAAAGCACCCCAACCAGGGACTGAACCTGCAACCCAGGCATGTGCCCTGATGGTGAATTGAACCCACAACCTTTTGGTTTGCAAAACAACAGCCAACAAACTGAGCTATGGGCCCATTTTTTTTTAATCTTTCCACAGCTACCGAGGTGCAGACTGGTAGTCTGCATTTCCACCAACAGTATGTGGGGGTTCTCTTTTCTCCACAACCTCACCAACATTTGTTTGTTGATTTATTGATGATAGCCATTCTAACAGGTGTGAGGTGATACCTCATTGTGGTTTTAATTCGCATTTCTCTGATGATTAGCGACATTGAGCATCTTTTCATATGTCTGTTGGCCATCACTATATTCTCTTTGGAGCAGTGTCTATTCAGGTCTTTTGCCCATTTTTTAGTGGGGTTGTTTGTTTTTTGATGTTGAGTTGTATACGTTCTTTATAAATTTATTTTAACCCTTTATCAGATGTATCATTGACAACTTGTTCTCCCATTCAGTGGGTTGAATTTTCATTTTGTTAATGATTTACTTTGTAAAAACTTTTTAATTTGATGTAGTCCCATTTATTATTTTGTTGTTTCCCTTGCCTGTGGAGATATATGTGGAAAAAATATTGCTGTGAGAATTGTCCAAGATTTTACTGCCTATGTTTTCTTTGAGGATTTTTATGGTTTCGAGACTAACATTTAAGTCTTTAATATATTTGAGTTTATTCTTGAATATGGTATAACAAGGTGGTCTAGTTTCATTTTTTTGCATGTATATGTCCAGTTTTCTCAATACCATTTACTGAATAGCCTTTCTTTACCCCATTGTATGTTTTTGCCTCCTTTGTTAAATATAATTGACTATAAAGGTGTAGGTTTATTTCTGGGCTCTCTATTCAGTTCCATTGATCTATATGTCTGTTGTTATGCTATTACAGTGCTGTTTTGATTACTATGGCTTTGTCGTATAGTTTGATATTAGGTGTGTGATTTCTCCAACTTCATTTTTCTTTCTCTAGATAGCTGTTGCTATTGGGGTCTTTTGTGGTTCCATATAAATTTTTGTAATGTTTGTTCTAGTTCTGTACAGTACACCATTGGTATCTTTATGCTGAATCTATAGATGGCTTTGGGTAGTATGGACATTTTAATGATGTTAAGTTTTCCTATTCCTGAAGACAATATATACTTCCACTTATTTGTATCTTCTTTAGTTTTTTTCTCCAGCGTCTTACAATTTTCCAAGTATAGGTCTTTTACATCCTTGGTTAAATATATTCTTAGGTGCTTTATTCTTTTTGAAGCAATTGTGAATGGGATTGATGTTTTAGTTTCCCTTTCTGATTGTTTATTATTGTTGTATAAAAATGTAATCAATTTCTGGATATTTATTTTGTATCCTGCTGCTTTTTTGAATTCATTTATCAGTTCTAGTAGTTTTTTGGTGGAATCTTTAGGGTTTTCCTTTTTTTTAATTTATAAAAAATTATGTATTCTTTTTTTTTATTGTTGTTTAGTTACAGTTGTCCCTCGTTTTTCCCCATTGTCCACCCCTACCCCTTACCCCCATATACATTATCATGTTATCTACAAATAATGACAGTTTTACTTTCTTTCTTATTTGGATGCCTTTTATTTCTTCTTGTCTGAAGCTATTACTAGGACTTACAGTACTACATTGAATAAGTGAGGTAAAAGTGGACATTCCTGCCTTGTTCCCAATCTTAAGGAAAACACTTGTAGTTTTTGCCTGTTGAGTATGATACTGGCAATGGGTTTGTTATATATGGCCTTTGTTATATTGAGGTATGTTCTCTCTATTGCCACTTTGCTCAGAGTTTTTATTATAAGTGGGTGCTGGATTTTATCAAAGTTTTTTTTGCGTATATTGATATAATCATATGTTTTTTTCCTTCATTTTGTTTATGTGGTAAATCACATTTATTGATGATATACAAATGTTGCATCCTTACATTCCTGAAATAAATCCCACTTGATCATTGTATATGATATTTTTGATGCTTTAGTGTATTCAGTTGCTAATATTTTGTTGAGGATTTTAGCATCTGTGTTCATTAGAGATACTGGCATAATTTTCTTTTCTTTTTTTGTACTGTCTTTATTTGGTTTTAGAATTAGTATAATGCTGGCTTCATAAAAGGAGCTGAAAGCCTTCCCCCCTACTGAAGTTTTTGGAATAGTTTGAGAAGAAGAGGTGTTAGTTCTTCTGGGAATGTTTGATAAAATTCACCTGTGAACTATCTGTTAATGGCTTTTGTTTGTTTGGGATTTTTTGATTACTGCTTAATCTGTCTATTCAGATTCTCTGATTCTTCCCGATTCAGTTTTTGATGACTGTATGTTCCTAAGAATTGATCCATTTTTTTT